CACGGCATCCCGGCACATGACAAGCCTTGACTCTTTGCACTAACTTTGTCTCATCTTTGATTTCCGAGGACGCCATCACAGACACGTGCAATGGACATTATCATCCCCGTTGTCATGGCATTTAATTAATAGTGGGGTTGCTACGCAACAGTGATAACGTTAGCCTTCCCATTTGGGGATTTCCTGCGCGAAAATTGAAGAAATAAATTGGAATTACTTCCTAAGACCAAGCACAGTAATGACAATTCACCAAATTTCACGATCTCGGGATTAACCCTCCAGGATATGAAATACAATAACGTGAGGATTCTGGTAATGTATGGGACTTATAGGGCCATTTCAGCTGTGGAAAGCCGAATAGGTAATACCGTAGTAGACGGTATAAAAGTATCCACATCCTTTAACATAACAGTTCTAGACATTTTATCACCACTTGACTAAGAGCACAGGAATGTTAATGGTTCATGTATTTTACGCCAATGTTAGGGTTTCTTTTTATGGTGTCGCAATGCGTGGAGGCAACGTTATTCGACTCGTTCGTTATTCGGCTGCTGGCTTTGGTCAGGTATCTTGACAGTGAAAATCAAGTTGAATATTTTACTCAACGTTCTTTTACTTATTTTGATCACTGGTAGTGAATCCAAATCATGACATCCTCTAGACCAGTGTACATTGTATGTTATTGTGTCCTGATATACACCAGACATTCAATCACCTCCGTCCTTTGTTCAGAATCCTGTTCGAGTTTCACAAACATTGAATCAACAAAATGATAGGATTTTTTCCTGATGAACACAGTCGACTTCTCGACCATTACTCAACACAAGAGTTTCAAATAGTGAGTTGGTTTTACGGTGCTTAGAACAGTATCACAGTATCCCTGTGAGATCACTGTGCTTAGAACAGTATCCGTGTCAGATAACGGTGCTAAGAACAGTATCCCTGTCATATAACGGTGCTTAAAACAGTATCCCTGACATATAACGGTTCTTAGAACAGGATCCCTGTCATATAGCGGTGCTTAGAACAGTATCTCTGTCATATAACGGTGATTAGAACAGAATCCCTGTCGGATAACGGTTCTTAGATCAGAATCCCTGTCATATAACGGTGCTTAGAACAGTATCTCTGTCATATAACGGTGCTTAGAACAGAATCCCTGTCGGATAACGGTTCTTAGAACAGTATCCCTGTCGGATAACGGTTCTTAGAACAGTATCCCTGCCATATAACGGTTCTTAGAACAGAATCCCTGTCATATAACGGTTCTTAGAACAGAATCTCTGTCATATAACGGTGCTGAGAACAGTATCTCTGTCATACAACGGTGCTTAGAACAGAATCCCTGTCGGATAACGGTTCTTAGAACAGTATCCCTGTCGATATAACGGTTCTTAGAACAGAATCCCTGTCATATAACGGTTGCTTAGAACAGAATCCCTGTCATATAACGCTGCTTAGAACAGTATCCCTGTCATATAACGGTGCTTAGAACAGTATCCTTAACATATAACGGAACTTAGAACAGTATCCCAGTCAGATAACGGTGCTTAGAACAGTATCCCTGTCTTATAACGGTGCTTAGAACAGTATACCTGTGTTATAACGACTGTTAGAACAGTATCCCTGTCATATAACGGTTCTTAGAACAGTATCCCTGTACCCTTGAGGAAAGTCTGAAGTGATGCAGTTTTAAGGAGTTGACCACTTTCGTATGACACAGACATGATGCTGGGAATATAAAGGGCGAACCGAAATGCGAATCCAAGATCGTAGCAAGACTCCTGTGAACAGCAGTCTGGAAACAGTCGACAATCCAGTGATTGACATTAGATACAATGACATCAACCACACCCAACTTTACCACGTAGGTAGAGTGTAGTGGTGTTGTTTTGGGGTTCAGTGAAAACTGAAATACCTATTGAGTCCAGTGGTTTTAGTTTGGTGCGGGTTTCTTTTGCAAATAAAATGACAAAACCTTTCGGCGACCTGTTCTGTCTCGTGTTGGACTTCAAGAAGATTCGTCTGCTGAATAGAGATTATTACCTTTCCAAGTAGTTTAATATGCCCAGCAAGTCTAAATTTAGAGTTGTAATGTCATTTTGTGTCTAGCGCCGTCAGTTCGGAGTCCTTGGAGAACGCGTTTTTGGGCAACTTGGCGACGAAGCTGTCTGTGAACCCTTCAAAACCGTTACTTCTTATCGAACAATGACTTCAGGCCTTAAGTTGCACTTACAAGTCATGCTCTCCAACCTCCGTGCTGGAGAAACGAGTTAAGTCACCAACACGTATGGCAAAAAGTTATCTCATAAAATGTTATTTATATAAAAATTAATGAAATTATGAAACATACAATAAAATATATAAAAGTCATATTAGACAACAAATAAGTTTTTCGCGAAATGTAATTTTAATTGCCAAACATGTACAGCAGTTACTCGGGAAACTATTGATATGTAAAAGTATAACACTGAAGGTATTTTCGTGAATAATTGCACTGATGTTTCATGAAAAAGAATATTATTTTTGGGAAAGTAATACAAAGCATCATCTCAAATATTAGCGTCGAAAATAACTAAAAGATCGCTGATGCTGCATTAATCAATCTTCACTCACTCACTGTAAGCCACAAATCTAAATCAATCCTCATAAGCTGTACCCATTCTCCACATTCCATCATATGATAGGATATACACATATACATCATATGATAGGATATTTTAATTTATAATTAATGATGCTCTCATTCAGTTGTATTTATATATAGTATTAGAACAAGTATCGGTATTGACCTTGAATCGTGTAAGACACGCAAAATGACATTTTGAATGTTCACATTCACCAATAAATTCAACATAAAACATTCTAGAGCCATACTTGTACGGACATGGCTTTGTTTGAAAATCAGTGGGTTTTTTTTAAGTGAGCAATTATCATCATAAAATCAACGTGGATTCCAATCATTTTGTCCTTTGTTATGAGTCAAAGGGTCATACGGGTCAGCAAAACTGTGTTGAAAATCTATCATTGCAAAAATACAGGCAGGGTGCTTAATTAAGTTCTTTGTGTATATAATATCGAAGTTGTATAGCAGATGATGTGTTGTAATGTTTTCTGTGGTTCAAGCATTGCTATCCACACGTCTTTGGAAAATTCAATTTGTCTCGAAAACTATTGTAGCATTTTACAAGAAATTGCATGGGTGACTGGACGCGTCAGATGGGTCAGTTGAACTCGCGATTGGGTAAATAAAATTACAGCAGTATTAGAACAATAATTGTGTCCCTTCGAACACATCATATTTAGAGAAGCAATCACTGTTATAAGCTCCAGTACACAACTTGGCCAAATGACCAAGCACCGTGCTCATGTAGTTATCCACCTGCGGACAATGACGGGATACGCAGTAATAGAGCTTGACCCAATATTGGGCTCTTTTCAGAAGTGGAATCCAGGTGTAATGTTTATTAAGTTCCTTTCAACCTTTCATCAAGCTATTACAACGTTTCAATCCACAAGCCACGTAAGTAGGCTTTCGTGCCCAATAGTGCTACAGAAGACAAATAGCAATCTTAACTCCACCTTCAGATGCAGATCTGTTACAATTTGTTCTGGGGGCATCGAATATCCTACTATAAACGTATCCTCTACGTGTGTTGACCAGGATATCAAACATGTCTCCATACATTATGTATCATTCAGGGCGATGGTGTGAAAAGTTATATGATCTAGATGTGTTGTTTCAGCCCACAACAATACTGAAAAACGGATCGATGTTCCTCCACATTCTTAACAACCAAAATGTATTAGCTATTGGCCTTGAGGATAAAGAAGTTTTTTTAAAACAATCAATATTCTTTACATATCCAGACGTGGAGCGCCACAATTCGATCTGCAGAGATGCGTCCCTGAGGCACTCCAGAAAACTGGGTTCGAATCCTGTTCGCACCTTCCGATTATGTTTCTTGATTCTTCAGCACCATACCCGTGCACATGGATTCCATCAATGTGGTTAAAGGTCTGAGATTTACAGCTCCTCAGTCTTTCCTTTGTCATTGCGCTGGCGCGTCGTGATGTTGTTGGAAGACTCAACCGCTCAAAGCGTGTTCACTAATTAGAAAGGCAAGAAAGTCACATTGCTTATACATACCGAAGTACATTTTTTGCAAAATGTCTATCTAGCTTGATATGATATGTCCATAAATTGCATTTGATTGAAGTGCGTTCATTAATATAGATGCAGTCTTTGCATGGTCGTGCTCTGCGGGGTCCAGACACAGAAAGCTCCCCATGACCAATAATGTCAGACGCAACCAGAACGAGTTGAGAAGGATCACAACGCGCAGTGGCGTGGCTGCGAGAATCCTTGCTCATGCCATCTCCCATCCTACAGTTTGGTTCAGAATAAACTGTTTAACATCTGGTTGTGATATGAAGCAAGATCATTAGAGCGAACTTGGGCATAAAAAATATCCAAACATAATCTCTCTCCGTGTGCACGTGTTGAAGGCCATTCTATAAATGTAATAGTATGCCCCATGTATTTTCTTACACCAACGCCTCCCGAAGGTGCTCGACTTGTAGCAGACGAGCCAGTGGCAAACTGGATTAAGCAAATTTGGTTTTGATTGGCATGCATGTCCTTGCGATACACGCAGATCAAGGAATATTCACAACTGCCTTATGCTTAAACATAAAGCAAAAACATCAAATTAGAGTGTTACCTTGCAAAATGTTGAATAGTTTGTTTGCACTTCAAGCATATTTTCAACATGGCATATGATAAAGAGACAAAAAAACTTGAGGGCAAGTGTTTAACAGTGCATCGTTGAAGTAAACAAATCCCATGCAGCTTGCACGGAGCGGAATCAAAAACACAGGGCTACATTCCTGTTCCTTTACAGTTTGTTTCACATTTATTTTTAGACGGAAAAACTATCGATCCGTCGTAGGAGGGCATACCCTTCACTACGAAGATGTGTGACACTGCGGCCATTTCAGACTACAACCATCGTTTGGAGTAGTTGACACGTTCAGTAATGAAATAAATATACGCCGCGTCTCTCCAGACCGAGGTCATACATCACCTTAACACACCAAGCCCTGGTCGAAAAACACGGAATTCAAGTAAGTATCTTTTTAAAGTTCATAGTCCAGCATTTAAATCTTTTCTTTCAACACGTTCTTAGTGTTTATTTCTACTGGCAAAATGACATATGACTTTTTAGTTCACTGGTATAGCTGTGAAGGTACTTCTTCTACCCACGTACGTCGTAAGAGGCGACTAACGGAATTGGATTATTCAATTAATGTAAACGTATATCAAATGTATAAAACGATGTTCATTATGTCAGTCATTGTATTGCCTTGTCTAGACTCATACAGACTGCCGCCATAAAGTTTGAACAGAGCTTAATGTATTACATAACATCCCAAAAGTACTGTTAAAATAAAATGTATGAAAACAAAATGGTCATGTATAAAAGACCCTGCATACCTTGCATATGCTTCTCCCAATAACATATGCGCCAAAGGCTGACAATTTGCGGGATCTCACACCGTTAATGGGCGTTTAGACATTGTGTTTAGTAGAACAAATCCAGTGTTCATTTATACTACGTTTCAGAACGAATTGTATCAAAATACCTTCAATGTTGGCTTTAAATTAGTGAATGAACTCAGACACCAACTCAACGAGCTAGACTTTTGAGAGAAGCACAAATAGTGTAGGTAACCAAAGTTAAGTTCTTCTGCTTCCGGGATCTGCCGACCGCACACTCGAAACCCTGATTGCGATCCTGCTTGTAGATGTGTCATGTTAGTTCAACATTTAGTGATGTTTTAAATGCTTACGACCAGAGTCATTTGAGTTTTATTAGCGCAATTCCGCAGACCCAGGCACTGATATGACCGAAATCATGTTGCATGTCACTCACAATGGTATTGGATTTTCGCAAATGGCCATTGCATGCATCAAGTGCATATCTTCCGAAATCAATGTCATCAATGCCATAAAACATCAGGGAACATTAAAGCATTAAACTTCCCCATATCAATCCTTCTGGGACGAATTAAGAGCGTATTTCAAAAATAGATAAATTTGAGGTCTTGACTGATTTATAATGTTGCTGACAGATGTGGCGTGATATGTGATTTTCGAGGAACTGTCAAATCAACTTTTTTCTTCTTTATTTAGGCGACACCAGATGAGAGGTTATGCAGGGGAACAATGTCAGGCACCAAATCTGCTGTCTGTCACGGCTGTGTGAGCTATCACTAAGAAAACGTGGCTAGTTTAACGCATCCTTTGCTCGTTTAATTTGAAAATCGGTAATGTTCCGACGTAACTCCTGCCTCGATCTCTGCTTCATGGCTTTTTTCAGAGATTACACTGCGATAGCTCCGCTAATGCCTCAAGGTCCATTCTCCGCACCAAACATTTACACCGACACTGCCAAGCCATTATCGTATCAATAGCCAGTTAGCTCTTGCTCTGCAATAATTCCACGAGTCAACTTTTCTTCGCATTTAATGCTGAGGGACGGTGAACGGAGCGCGCAAGGATTTAGCCGGAGAGTAAATCAATTACATGCGCGATCTATGATCATGCTGTGTCGTGGAGAGGCTCTGTGTTTTCCAGTTGACGATGCCACCGGTACAACCTGCTGGCCTGGTTTGACGCCTGACGTTTGCAAGTAACGGCGGTGTCGTGTCAGAGACAACCATTTGCAGAGGGAAACGCCACTTCCAAGAGGCAGACGACTCGCTAATAAAATCAGACAGTGGCAGAAGAGAGTGAGAAGGAAAACTTCTGACAAATGGATTGAAAACACTTTCGAGGGTTTGAGGTACATCTTCTTTCCAAGTTCCGTGGAATAACGGACACTTGCGAAACTGTGATAGTAAATGGAACAGAAGGAACCTTTACGCAGAGGAACAAGTTTCACAATATCGTGCGATTGAGGCGAGGGATGCATTAACAAATTTTCGTGTCGACGAAGCCACGGTGTTAATGGCATCGTTTCCCGTTCTGCAGGGTTTGTTTAAGCTATCCCAGAGGAAATTTCCCTTGGCCGTCCAATGAAACCCTGCGTCGTCCAATGTTTTTAATTACACGATGTTGAGATCAAACCATCAACGTGCGCCCATGGGCTCGATTCAGAATTGATCGCTGTCGCATCAGGTCCAAGGAAAGCTGGGAAGGAGAGAGTGGGGAAAAATTTCCCCGCAGGACGTCGGAGGACAGAACATTCTACATAACGTTTTGCATCTCCTAGCTGATAACCATAACCAAGGGCACGTGGAACTACGGCTCTACTGAAAGAACAGCGCTCGTCTCTTAATGTAGGCAATATAGCAAGAGGAATGGTTGGTCTGGTGAAGCCCTGGTCCATTTAGGGGGCAAAGGGGATTTACCCCTTCCGAAAACTTTCAAATCTTCTCCTATTTTTTGTAAAACATGTATTTATGGGAGCCGAGAGGGATATTGGCATCTTTTGTTGCGACACTCGGATTAAGGTGACAAGGACGCGGTGGAAACATTTGCCAAAAGGTCGGCTGAAGACATGGCAAATCCCGCAAAGATCTGGAGACATTTTAAGATCCAGATCTGGCCAAGCATTCTGTTATCATCCTTCCTATGGGTTGTGTTGCTGCTCCCCTGGATTAATGGCATCGATGTCGTAAGTTATAAAGTGTGGTTCTTACTTTGCTTCAATTTGTAGTTACGCAGGCAAGGGACATCAATCTCCCAAATGCCACTATCATTAACTTTGGTGCTAATCGAATTCTAACCATTTATAGCACCTTTCTTAAGTGGTCGCTAGCATTTAATGTCCCTTATTTTCTTATCTTGCCAATGTCGTCCTGTGGCTGATGAGGTTCTGTCAGGGATGTTATTTTCAACATCGTCAATTGTTTTTATTATCAACCGTTCACGATATATTTGTACAAGTTATATTATTTCATGGTTTTGATTGTGGATATACAGTTTGAAAGTAAATAATTCACTGAAATGATGCTGGAAACGTAGACGTGTATCACCATGAATATTCTGCTGTAATAACATTGTATTCGTTATTATGTAGGGGTTGATTATCATTCCAGGTATAAAACCCATCATTTGCCGAGTAAACAACTGATTTAAGTCTTAATTGTGAAAAGCTAGAAGACTGTATTTGTACTTACAGCCCTGAATAATCCGTTTTACTTGCTTTTAAATACCGTGATATATTTATATCAAATTTTAAGGTTATGCTTTATGTTTAATTTTGTATTTTATACATATGGTCACCTGTGCAAACTTTTGCAGGCATCAATTGTCGAAGGAAGGTGTAAATATCAGAATCATGCTATGTTGGCATATGGAATATTTTGATACGATTATGATATGTTAGTATCAAGCAACTGCATCAAGTCCCATTGGCACCATGTTGTCTTTGCAAGACATTTGCACCAAACTTCAGATATGTGAGACCTACAGCTATGTCAGAGCCTAATTCAACATAAGCAGAAGGAGACTGTGTTTCAATAGTAAGAGTAGCGTTCTGGTATGACCTTAGACCGTTCGCCGTGACTTATAAAGTCAACGTCACCACCAATAGACCAGTCTTACATTATGACGTTGTTTGCAAAGACAAAACTGGTTCGAACTCACAAACGAAACAGACGTCCACCATTAGTATTAACTTGTTTGTAAAAGCGAATCTGCTCAGAAGAAACGCCATGTAAATGTTTACCACTGAGACAATTGTTACTTATGCAAGATACTGTTGATAGCTTGCTCGCAGTGCTGTGTGGCTTAGTGCAAGTTTATTTTTCAAAGTAAATCACAAGGATATTTGTTATTTGGTTCCAAATTTGGTCAGGATACTCTGGCCCCATTGGCAGTCGTTCATAAACACGAGATTATGATATAAATCGTTCAGCTGCAGGCATTGATAATGATTATGAAAGTTGAAATGCTCTTTGTATCGGTAATGGAATGTGTTATACATGAACATTTACCTACATTTCCTTTGGCTTTGAATTATCCTTTCTATTTCGCCGATTCTGAGCACATGAAAGCATATGAAATGATATAATACATAGACCTTTGTTGAGTAAATGGTTCTGAATCTGACGGATAATGGAACATAGTGACCCTTTGAACAGATCAGTGTGACAGCCCATGGTTCAATTTGTTTCCTCAAGTTCGCAAGGCCACTAGACGACCAGAGCAGTAAGTGTGGGTGTCCTGATCTTTCCCAGGTTTATCACAACCACCAATGCTTGTATAAGGAAACGACTATTTACTATTCTGGCAGGGCCTGGGATTTCTGTTTGCGACAGGATATTTCTTTTCATTTGGTGCTCACATTTCTTTTCTGTGAAAGAATGAGTTTACATTTATTTAGCTCAAATTATGTTTTTAAGAAGATCTCCACGTTCAGGGAACGATCAATTCTTCCGTAATAAAACCTGAGCTTTAGGGACAATATATCCTAGGCTTCCTGTGTCAGAGTATCATGTTGTGGGTCCCCAATGAGTGTAAGAACCACGAACGGTATGTGTTTTCATTCATGATAGTATATGGAGGATATTATATGAGTGCCCATGTCATACTATGTTTACGACACGAGTGTATAAATGTTAGTGTTTCCCGAGCGATAGCGAGGGATATACCGATATTTAGGCACGAGTGTCGTAAACATAGTATGATATAGGCACGAATATGATATTCTGTTTATTACCGAAGTCATCAAATTGAGTAAAATAAACCCAAATGTACACTCAAACATAGGCTGGCTACCCGCCGTCGCCGCATGTAGAACGCAACGTCATGGGAGAAGCATGACGTCATAACACTGTTCATGACGTCACGTCACCATGACAAAGTGATATTTTGCCCTAGGGCATCGAATGAAAAATATTAACCCCCATATTTTCTCCCTCGAAGATAATATATTTCTTTAAAGATGTTTTCTGTCACAGTGCTTTAAGAGATATACAACATACACTTAAGATCCCATGTTTGTCGTAAGAGGCGACTAACGGGATTGGGTGGTCTGCCTCGCTGACTTGGTTGACACATGTCATCTCATCCCAACTGCGTAGGTCGATGCTCATCCTGTTGATTACTGTATTGTCTGGTCCAGACTCGATTATTTACAGACTGCTGCCATATAGCTGGAATATTGCTGAATGCGGCGTTACACAAAAAACCTAAAACATGTCAACGTAGGGACATGCGCATGACGTCAATCCTTGGATTGCTGGTCGAGACTCGATTATTTACAGATACATACCTTGAATATAGCTCGATGTAACGTTAACGCAGTACACAAACGTGGAAGAAGGACTGAACCTTAATCGTGATTCTATGGTCTTGGTTACTGGACTGGTCAATGAACTAGCATCATATGTATTTGAAGTTCAAGTGGGCTAAGTTACTGGGGATAGTAAGACAGTACGTTTTATGTATATTGTGTTATGTGTGTATTAAAACCACATTTGGCAAACAACTGAAGGAAGCTGGAATCATGTCATCTATTAGACATCTGAAAGACGCACTATAGTATATTTATTGTTGTATAACGTTCAAGGCATCTTCTTACTTTGTTACGGTTATATCACGGTGTATCAACATCTGGTAGTGAAATTAGTTAAACCAACGAGTTTCTGGGTTTCAACCGCACATCCAGTAGAAGATCACTGAAACTCCTATCCGTCCTCCACGTTTTGGGTTCAATAGTAGAAATAATAATCGGCCTCGTACATGCATACATGCATGCGTGTAATTTTCACTTTTTCATTGCCGCTGCCTCAAAGCCATCCTTGTAAAGACGGAGTAGAGGTGATATTTGGTTCCCTTTTTTCGTGTAATGTGCTAAGAATCGATTTATAAAGTGGTTATTTGTGAGAGACAATTGGGAATAGAAACCGAGATTGAAGAAATCGATATCATAAACGTACTTTTCGTGGGCATGGTTTGCGTTATTCGTCCTGCTCTCTTTGGGCTGTTTTCAGATATGTAGATTGTAGGTGTGTCATAATGACATTGTACTGTGCCTTGGCACACAATTGCAGGCATCTAAAAGGTTTTTTTGGTTTTTGAATTAAAAAAACCCACCGGGTTTTACTGTCTTGTTCTTGCAGCTATCGATTTCCTTTCTGTACATCACAGGAATACTAACACATAGTGTGTTTTGATAGTTAGCAGGGCGACGGTTGACTATGGAACAACGTTAGATATGACAAAGCTTCTTGAATCTGTCAACAAGAAATTTCTTCTGACTACTGGTAATATGAAGCATTATTTGACACTGGTACAAATTATTGTAGTACATTATAGAACAGTGAGAGCAACACTACTATCTACACATTATATACGGTTTGGAAACCCAAATTACTCTTTATGGCAGTTGAACATTTGAAAGATTTTATCAATAAATGCTTTCTAAAATATAGACACGAGATAACAAAAGAGATGCAGATGAAACCATCACGTCACTGGGTCACATATGAAGTCACATCAGTCGAAATTTAATACTTTGAGCCTTCATGTTTGTTAGGCCTTTCATTAGTATTTGGACATCTTTCTCGCTATTTCAACGATGCCTTAGCTTCTGCTACAGTTACCTGAACATATTTTTCAGCACCATGAACGTTTAGTTTTTAGAGATTAGAACAACAGGTCATGCAAGCGCTCCATCAGTTTAACAGAAATAATATCTAGTTAGCGCTTCATCTTGGGCATCACGCGAGGACATAGTTCAAATGGACGGTGATTTGTCTCAGAATGGAGTAGAGGAATCCCTTAAGTCTCATTGGAGAGAATGGCGTCAATTCAACATTTCGATTGAAATTGATGATAATCGTTGAAACAAGCCACAGAGGATAATCACTCGACGTTTGTCGTTGATATCTGACATCTTCAGATTGATAATTATGACTTCAAACACATTAGTCTTTGTAGATTCATTACGTAATTGGCCAAGGTTGGCTTGAACGTTTTGTTTGTATAAAACCTCGCCACCATATTGCTGAAATGTTGCCCATGTGATGCTAAATATTAACTCACTTGTATATAATCAGAGCTCACATCTTCATGTGATGCTTGTACCGGTTTCCCATTTGTTGTAGGAATTAATTCTCCCGTGTACACGTCGTTTTGCCAACCAATAGTGATATATAATATCATTTCAGTTCAATTCGGATACAGTATGAAAGGCAAAAGCACCGGATTTTAGTGCAAAACACTCGTCAAACATTGCATCCTACTCAGCATGGACTTGGACAAAGTCAGGAGAGAAATGCACATATAATCACTTAGTGTTAGTTTACGCAAAAGGCATATTATTAACACACGCTTTTCACACGTACGGGCTTTATTTAAATGCCTGACGATCATAGTTTCTTGAATCTATTTTGCATTAGCTCTTTTGGTGTTGCCCTAATATGTGTTCCAGATTTAAACATACGCTATAACACGTCCTTATGAATAATCCGCATTGGTCAGTGTGGCTGAAGGTGGTCTACGTTGAAGTACTCCCTCTGACATGGCCCTCTTATTGCTGGTTGGGATCCCATACTCGCCTGGTTCTTAGTTTGCTACTCTCACCAAGGATTGGTTACGTCTACGATCTGGTGTGTCTTGGGCGCCCAGTGCGGACTCTGGGACAGAATTGTATTCTTGTAGGCG